TAAAAACAGAGTAAAATTCTTGGTTTATAACTCAAGTAACAGGTGTAGCATCACAGTATAATTTTATGCCACAGAATGCACGTCTATGTGACATACTTGAAGTTCGACATGAACAATGCATGTTCGCTTTACGCCTTGCCTTCAGTGTCGCCATAAAAATATTCACGTCCCCCATCAGTAATTCTAAATATGGAGAAACAAGTTGTGCTGCCGATTCTAGTAATTACACAGTTCTAATTGTGCTTTCAAAAGCTCTGCCGACACTAGAGAAATCAAAGGCACTCAAAGCTCTTTTATGTTTATGTAATATCGATGTAAGAAATAAAGCAAATTATTTTCTTAGTACATCAGGTTTTATCAGAAATCAAAATCGGTTTGATAATACAATAAACCACGACGTCAACGCTCTTTGAAAACGAACTTTTTGATATTTTTGTGGAACAATGAAATGAGTTCACTGTTGCTGTTTGGATTTCATAACTGAGAAATTGAGCTTGATCAACGTCACTTCTTTTGTCAATATGCAAACTAAATGAGTAAACTGCACATTTTTTGTACAAAACGTCTTTTTACTTAATAAATTAAAAAGTATTGAATACTATTTTATTCATAAGGGCAGACTCGTATTCCAAAATGTACTTCTGTGCTCTAGTTTAGAGACGCTTGTTATGGGTAGTGCGTGGGTAGACAATAAAGGCAAATAGTGAAGGAATGGGCTCATTACGTGTGTTTATGTTACGCTCGGCGGGCGCAGGCGTAGGCTTGCGCCGATTCGGACTCATTCCGAACGGTTTCTGTGACGTACGCTTGTGCTTTTCCAATTATTGGATTTGGAGTCCGTTATTTCCCGTCTGGGTAGATTCACAACGCTTTTTAGATTACGATTAACGTAAAAATTCAAGAAAATGCACAAATGTGAGTGTGAATAATGTTTATTTTAGAATAATTGACAAACATTACCATATTTAAGAAGAACAACGTTCAAAATAGAGTGAGATTTGTTTCTTGTTCTAAGTTCTCGTCGTATATCGACACATTCCTCTGTTTGTTTAGTGAGTGTGTTTGTTCTTTTACAACTTTTTGTAGGTTTCCAAAGGTTATTAACCCACTTTAGGGCATCATAGTACTCGGCCGCATGTGTGTTTGAAGTTAGCATCCTAAATATTGTCCCGCACGTGTAATTCTTGCGTAATGTTATGCGAACAAGTGAAAAGCTTGAAGTGTTTGGTCTTCTACGATTGTAAGACCGGTAGAGCCACTTTAACTTTACTTACAAGAATATGTTCCTATTTTTTTTCTGTCGAAGCAGGAATGAACTGAGAAAGTGGGTATACTTATCTTGTTGAATACCGGATGATTCTTAATTATAGTTGGTTTATACATTATGTAAATTAGCTTTTTATGAACACCTGATTAGTGATTATAATATGAAATAGATCAAGCGTTGACTATATAAACTACCTGACTCTACGTACCCTGGTTCAAAGTTTTAAACGAACATTGATAAGACCAGGAACAATACAGCGCTTGGAGCTGTAAACTGCAGCGGGGCGTAGTAGATTACATGCAAACGATACTAATGCACATTCCCTAAGTGGCCTAAGTAATAGACTAGACCAGGGAGAGTCGGAGGGCCGCGGGAGCGTACGAAAGAGCGGGTGGAATGTGCGCGCAAGGTCATTGCGCCCTGCGCGGTCATGCGCTCGCGCCGCGCCCGCGCAGCCCACCCCGCACCCACCACCACATTGTCTAGTGATCAGCTGCGGATAAGGGGGAAGCGACCGCACCGAAAGCCGATAGGAACCACTTCAATGCGAAAGTGCCTTTATTTTTCCATTTTGCCCGTCCGCTCGGACGAGCCGGCACGAACGCCCCGAGCGATATTGTTCCCTGCTCTAACGCCATTCTCTAAGCTAAGAAAAAGACTATTGGAGCCGTCGTCTTTTATTTACGATGCTTACTCTTTCCAGCTTTTATCCCACGTATGCGCTAGGGGCGTTTGAAAGGGTTTTCTGTCGGGGTTTTAGAATATTCTGTCTATAATTAAGAAACTACTAATATTTTTATGACTCTATATCTTATGAATATTATATCCTGCGTTACATTTATAAATGCTTAAATCCTAAGAATAACTTGAAATACCAGCCATTAACATAATATTACGAATAGATCACGTACTTTCACATCGACCGTTATATATTTCTTAAAAAGCAAAATTAAAGCAGCGAATGTGTGAAAACAACATTCTTCGTCTTTGTTGGTGGCAATAAATTTACAAGGGATTTGCAAAAATTATCATGTTTTGCCGAGTTAGGCAGTCGAATGATAAATTAATTCCAGCTTTTATACAATGACAACATCCATTAAAATACTGTTTTATCGATTATGTTAATGCGATACAATATCGATTGATTTTTACCGGTGATGACATACTTTAGTTTTTAAAATTTATAGCATTATTGCGACAGGCTTTCGGTATAAAATTTTGTATTTTTTTAGTTTTGTAGGTGTCACTTTATATGTTGGTCGGTACGAATATGGTTATAAAAGCGTGTCGCTAATTAAGTAGCAGTTTCACTTGGTAATTGATGAGGTGATAAAATCCGCTTGGTAGCGGCCGATGGGTTGTCGCGGGTCAGTGGTGCGGTATCATTACTCACGCAAGTAGCGCAGCGCAGGGTCCACCCGAGCGGCCAGCGTAAACATGGTAAGGTCAATTAAAATGATCAACGATTGTGTTGGTTAAGTTAAACGCAGGTAACCACGATTGAGGCTGGAGCAAATAGGAGTTACTTTGAAACATTATAGGGCATTCTATCTAACACAGTTGTCACACAGAATATCAATATCAACAATTCAATGTGGATAATGCGTATACTGGTTTCAGTCGCTTCAATGTGGCTACCAAGATTATGTTAACAGGTATACTTACTTTTGCGTTCTGAATATAAATGTACTTGTAGAGTAGAGTAGAATATTTTTTCTTCGATTATCTTGTATCATCAAGTTGTTTTACTTGACGATCTTGATGTATCGAGCGATACCAGCTCATTATTTATTTATTTTCAACCGACTTCAAAAAAGGAGGAGGTTCTCAATTCGACCCGTATGTTTTTTTTTTTCTATGTTTGTTACGCGATAACTCCGCCAATTATGAACCGATTTGAACAAATCTTTTTTCGGCGTATAGGTAATACCTCAAGGGTGGTCCCATTTAAATTTAATAATAAAAAAAACAACCCCCAAGGGTGGAAAATTGGGGATGAACTTTTTTATACGCAATATCTCCGCCGATTATAAACCAATTTGAACGATTATTTTTTTGTTGAATAGGTATTATCAAAAGGGTGGTTTCATGCGAATTTGAAGAAAATATTTCACCCCCAAGGGTGGAAAATTGGGGATGNTATTTTATCCGAACACTGGCAAGGCTGGCTCACGATGTACACAGATGCGTCCAAGCTCGCTGATGACGGCTGCGTCGGCGCCGCAGTGTGGATACCTGTGTACAAAATCGCTCTTAGTTACAAATGTCCCCCAGTGACATCGGTTTTTACCGGTGAAGCAGTGGCAATTTTAGAAGCAATTCTATACGCTAAATCTCACTCATTAAATAATGTTTTAATTTTTTCGGACTCCCTAAGTTGTCTCCAATCGATTCTGGCTAATACTTTTAAGTCTAAAGTTAAATTTCCAACCGTCTTAAAAATAAGAGAAGCTCTTTTTGATTGCCGTTCGAAGGGTATAAATATCGTTTTGGCTTGGATCCCTAGTCACAGAGGAATTCCAGGAAACGAATCTGTTGACTCATGCGCAAAACATGCTATATCCTCTGGCTCCCTAGAGCACTACTCACTATTCTCTCATGACGCTGCATCCCTCTCCCTAGCCCATCTTTATAAATCGTGGAGAACTCATTGGGACAATTCAAAAAGGATGGTTGGCAAATACTATGCAGACATTCAAAACGATATTCCCCCTAGACCCTGGTTTTTTAAACACAAATACTTACCAAAAAGTTCTGTATCAATTACCTCAAGGGTGGTCCCATTTAAATTTAATAATAAAAAAAACAACCCCCAAGGGTGGAAAATTGGGGATGAACTTTTTTATACGCAATATCTCCGCCGATTATAAACCAATTTGAACGATTATTTTTTTGTTGAATAGGTATTATCAAAAGGGTGGTTTCATGCGAATTTGAAGAAAATATTTCACCCCCAAGGGTGGAAAATTGGGGATGAACTTTTTTATACGCAATATCTCCGCCGATTATGAACCAATTTTTTTTTGGTCTCAGTGTACTGCCTACCTTCAGTGGTAACATCAAGGTAATAATTAGTTAACTAAAAAGCAAGAAATAAGTAAAATTTTATAAAAAAAATAAAACCGACTCCAAAAAACCTACACTAAAACGTAGAAAAATAATTACTAATTACCTACTTATTTATTAGGACGAATTATTAATATTTATGTAGGTATACCATGATTGATACTTTTGTAATTATTTTTAATTATTATATAGTAGGTAATTAGTAATTATTTTTCTACGTTTTAGTGTAGGTTTTTTGGAGTCGGTTTTATTTTTTTCGTTGTACCTAGTTGTTTATAAAAATAATAAGTAAGTGCCATAATGATAGTTATTCAGTTTTATCTACATTAAACGTATATTAGTAACTATCTTAAAATTTTCAGAAATATAAAACTTTTACAGAAGCTTTAAAATACTAGTAGTGATTCAATTTTATTGTTGTTCATAAAATGTGACGGTAATATGCGAATATTATTGCCCACTTGTAACGGTTGCTTGTGCGGTATTGTGAACTTAGTTTTTTGCAGCTATTGATCAAATTGAACGTCAAGAAGACATTACTTGGCATGGCATGGTCGTGTTTTTCGTTTTTACAACGTTTTATGTCATGTTAAGTTCATTCTTATAAGTATTACATCGTTCAGCGTAAAATGGTGCAGTTATTCAATTTTACTTTTCTTTGTTGCAGGATTTGGTTCCTGGGCTACTCATACTTCTGACGAACGGGTAAGTTTCAGACACCTACATAAAATAAAGTACATTCGCACAATAAAAACATCCAACATTTCAGAAGTTACAATCGTGTAAATATGCCTATCTACCCATGTAGGCTCGTACTTTAGTTAATCCAATACACTGTTTCTACCATTGTTCGTATCCTCTGCTCTATTGTGTGACACTGCAAAGAAACATGGTCTCGATACCTTTCCGTGGGACGTCCGTGAACTCTACCTCTTTTTGTGTTGTCAAGCATTTTACTCGCGAGTTAAACAAGATTGCATGTCTGCAACAACTTTGCGTTGACCAAGTATCTATATTCAAGACACAACCAGTCTTTACTAATTCTACTATTTTACAAACTAGCCTATTATCTTGTAAATGTAGATATAACTGGATATTCCCCGATACAAAAACAAGGCTTTGTTCGATGAATGATTTATTGATATTGAGTTTGCACAGATGAACTCCGGATAGCGTGATTGATAGAAAATAAATTTGCTGTATTTATGAGATAGACGTTTTCGTCATTGTTGCTTGTGCAAGTGAAAGTAATTTCGTAAATGATAAATAAAAATTAAGTAGCACACGTCTTATAACTTTCGATTATTAGTGATATTTAGGAGTTTGATTTTTATTTTTAACTGCTTTACTTACTTGAAATATTAGTAAATAAGTTTAGTAGTTTTTTGTAAAACAGTTTTCACTTTATAACAAAGTAGATAGATGTAGAACTTGTTTAATTAGGTAGACTATTAATATATCAGTACTTTTTTATCCTGTCCTTGGCTGAAGAAAGCCAAGTCCATCGTACTTAATAACGTTTACTCTTTGCTTAAATTTCATTTAAGATCAGTTTCTTTTTAGTATAAAATAGTGTTCTGAATCACGCTTCCGAAATTGCTGTAAGATAAAATTTAAAGAGCGAAACACTTTTTTGCTCAACGCGCCTCCGCTGATATACCGATAAAAAGCTCTGGTAGAGTTTGCTCTAAATGCGGAATGTTGCAATCAGCCTGCATTTCGCCAGCGGTTTCTAGAGAGACCTAGTTGGTTTTACGCGAAGGGCTAATAGACGTCATCTCTAAATAAGTGGTTATTGAGATGTTACACGCTAACTTCTGTAAGCATGAGTGACAGGCCGCGCCCCAGAACATGTTCCTCGCCCGCGGTGCGGCAAATTTCTATCATCTAACACTCGATTCCTATGAAATGTTTAGAGAGAAATTGCTATGTAATGTCAGATAATGGCCAATATCATAATTGACAGACACTATGTCCGTAAATACGCCACGTTTGTGACAATGTGGTTAATAATAGTTAACGCTCGGTGGGACTGCCACTGGTGAAATTTTCAAAGAAAGCTGTGTCGTTTAGATGTCAGTAAAACGACGCTACTTTTATTTCTGTCGTTAAAACGGTGAGAAAGAACTTCTTGAATTAGACTCGTGGGTTAACGATCACAGCAAGTACTTACAAGAAAAGTCATTACGTCATTTTATTTATTTTAGTAGGAAATTATATAAAATATAGTGACCATTCATTCCTGGGTTTGTCTGTGGTGTAATCGTTAAGTCGTACGTGAGCAATTAAACGCTACCGTTAATTGTTTTCTTTCCGTGATCAAGGAACGAGCGTAGGACGCGTGAATGCTCGCTCGGTTTGCGGTAGGGCTCGTAGCATTCCGCGCGGTACTTCATGCTCATTCTGGCATCCAGATAAACGGAAAGTAGTAAGAGTGAAAATATGTGGCAAGAAGAGTTATTAGACAAAGATTAGTTTTTCTTAAAGTTACGGTAAGCCCGCGCCCTAGCTTAGTAACCGCCACATATCCACTTACCTCAATGGTATGTATGCACCCATCCATTAATCATACATTATTTTGTTCAGTAGCTTGTATCATATCTACTTTTTTGATGTATTCAATTTGCGTGACTTGATTACCTCAATAGCTATCGCTTAATTTCTTCTCACCATAAATTATGTTGCAATCTAAGTATATTCAAGAATCTAGTATTTCTGAACGAAGTGGACTTTCGATGCGATTAACACACATTCTGGACATCAGCGATAGGAAATCATGTTTGCTTGCAGCATTATCAATTACTCTTTGGAACGGTTTCTCGCCCCTATAAACGCTCGCCAACGCGCATTAACTTCACTTTGTACAACATGGTTGCCGCGTGTCCTAATGGCCTTTCTTGCCACTTTCTAGATTTAGGTTAAGAAGTAGCCGGTACTAAAACTATATTATTAATCTAGAGACACTAATTAAATAGGTTAGCGACGCGAAGTCGGCTTCGACTTAACGAGTAGTAGAAGTGCGCACTTGTTAATGCAATATTAAAAAGGTATTGGGAATTAAATCATCGGTAATATTTTTTCTAATAATAAATTCAAACTAGCCAGAACGTACATGATGTTGGTGACTACTACTTAGATGTACTAAAATTATTATCTAGTATAAGTAACTTTGTAAAGATCATTTTACCACTAAATTATTCTTTTACAACAAACATTTATTTAAATGGAAATCAAGAATAACTGCTTCCTATAGCAATTTGCTTAGTTCTTGTTAGTAGGTATCTACTAACATTTTCCAATCAAATTGTTACAGCAAACTGGACATTACTAACATTTACATATTAGAATTAGCTTGACGTACTTAGTACTGTATGTCTAGGACGGTTCCCTACATGGTTTATTTTAGCGTCCGGTTGTGTCCGTAGCTGCAGTTTCCTGACCAGTCCAGTCGCGGCGTTAACGACGTCGTGCGTTTTTCATCCCGTGCCATAAGCCATGAGCCGAACGAGCATTATCATAAAATAACACATTAGGGTATTTCTCATCGCCACGGTTCTCATCGTCACCTTCGTGGCTGTTGGAAGTATACTAATAAAAGAGGGAATTATTTCAATTAAACGGTTTATTGACGTCCACACGGACAGATCACAGAGAATACAGAGTTAGCATCATAGACCAAAGTATTAACTTTTTAACTATGGCAAAGGGCGGTGTTTATTTAAATCCTACATCCTCCCTTAAACACAAACCCATTTGCGATACACAGTATTCTAATTTTGCATGCGTCGTTGCCTTGGTAAGTGCATCTGCAACCATCATGTTGGTTTGTACATAGCGAACATCAATCACTCCACTTAGTACCTTGTCTCGGACAAAATGGTGCCTCACGTCAATGTGTTTTGTTCTGGCATGATATCCATCGGTACCTGCAAGTTTGATTGAGCTCTGGTTATCGCTATAAATAACCATCGGTTCACTCTTCAACTGTGGCCAAAATGTTTCTTGAAGTTTTNTTTTGTTTACTTTAGAGTCCTAATTGGTACACTTTCGAAACACACACGATGGCATTTTTTATTTATTTTGGTAAGAACACAGGAACTTACGGTGTGGTACGCACGCGATTGCGCACGACGCAGGCCACACGAAGACTAAACACAAGACGTCCCAATTGGGACGTATTTGAGTATTCACAGCGCGAGCGCTTATAACATATCTGCTTTTGTTTTTATATAATATCATTGGTTAAGGCTGATTAAAACGTGTTAAGTAGGTACCTACCTAACTACTTTATTGACTTAATTTTAAGTAATTAATTGCGTAGTAGTATAGTACAAAACTTAGTGTTGATGAAAAAGAACTCTTGTGTCTCACTAAAACTTATTTCCATTAACACCAAGCACTCACCGCTTACCACACTTTATCTTTCAAAGAAATAAATTAACAATTTGCATACGAGGACGAGGATAGAATTACACCTCCTATGAGAATTTATACGATTATCATGAGTTACGAGTCACCGCAATCTGATTGCAATATGATTGCGGCAATCATTTGACATTAGCAATGGGCTCATGAAACTTAGACAATTCGAATTTTCTGTCAAAATCATATTCATCATTCACTCATCGTATAAAATTACGATCAAATCGTTAACATATCGTTATCGTTTTATGAACTCCTTACACAATTAGAATTAGCCGTTTGACACATCATAACGTACGTTATGAACTGTCAAATGAATACGATTGCCTTAGACAATCGCACCACAGGTCGCTTGCAGAAAGTAAGAAATATGTTTGTTACAAAAGTTTAAGCAAGCTCCAAAAGTTAGTGTATATAATTATGTAGACTTTATATGATAGAACGATAATTTGTTTTTCTACCTTTTTTTCGCCAGTCACGAATAAAAATGTATGCCAAACCATTAATGATAGAATATAGCTTAGAATTTTATACAGTCAGGCATATCAACATGTCTCACTTTTGGCACGCGTATTTTTAACTTGATGAAATGTATTTTCATAATTATGTCAGCAAACTTGGGATATTGACACGATTAGATTGAGAGAAATTAAAAATAATTCGAAATACATATATAAAATAACAGTACAGTAAAACATTAGGTGTTTTGTTTATCGCGTCCGCTTATGGTGTACCTATATCAGAGACAGCGCGCGGCGCGGGCGCAGGCGACAGCGACAAGCTTTAGCATTCCGAGCACTGCCTTCTTTAGCGCAACACGCGATCCTTTGCATCCAAGATATTTAAATAAGCCACATTAAAATAATTAGGGGTTGAAAATGTATTTATAGGATTTTATTTATACTGTTGTGATTAACAGCTTGTTTCATTTGCGTTGTTTTTTCAAATAAATTCCATGAACAAATTAGATAATGTCATCATGATATTCAACGTTAATCATTTTATAACGTTAAGCTGAAGCATTAATTTTTAATTAGATACCTGTGCAGTGTGCTTGTATGAGTGCACCATTGCATTGATTTCAATAAATTAAAAGTGATGAGTTATGGTAATCGTACCAATAACACGATAATCCTTTTAGAGCCGGTATGAAATTCTCGTATAATAGTTTTGAGGAATCTGAATTTATTCATGTTGCAGGAGAAGGAACAGACGTGTGAAAGTTGAAACGAAAATTCACACGCATTCGAAAACAGATGCCCCAGTTGGAACAGATAATTGGG